GAGCAAAAAGGCAAATAATAAAAGTAAAAAGAAAAAGATATTTAAAATATAATATACTTATTGCGAAACTTCATGAATATATTTGCTTTTGAAATATTAAATAGTTAAATATGGGAGTATTCTTTAAAAAATGATTTTCGATTGAATTTTAATGTTTTAATCTCCTTTAAAAAATCAAATTTGATACAAATATATTGATAAAAATTGTTAACATTATAGTATTGAAATATATTTGAAGATCTATTCTTACTTTTTGATCAAAAATCAAAAATAAGTAATGATAAATCCAAATTTTATAGCTTAAATATTAAATTAAGTAATAATTTTTTTGGTTACTCAATATTGCGAGCTTCTATTAGTTATAATAAATTGCTTCACCTGAAACTTTGAATCTGCAAAAATCTATTTTTTCAATATGCTAGTAATAAAAATCTCAAACATATCAAAAAGTCAAAGAAAGCAACTCCTTTTGATTTTGTTGCTTCTTTCTTTATATTAGTTTTTAAAATATTTAAGATTTTAACGACCAGTAATCTGTTATAAAGAAAAATTTTAATAATTAAATATTTAGAATGTTTAAGACTACCCTAATTATTCTTTTAATAAAACCAAGAGAATCCTATTTTAGAATTATCATTGTCGAAAGACTCGGCCATATCAAAATACAGCTAGATGTGAGATCCTATATCTAAATAAATTTTAAAGCCTAACTTAACTTTTTGTTGGAATTGATTTGTTATTTCATTTCATTTAATTAGAGTAATCAATAGTGTTCTAGTTCGTGCAGATTAATTAGTAGTAAAACTGATTATTCTTTTCGAGATCATTCTTAAAAAGTTCTAATGTAATCTAGGATCTTTTATTTTCAATCAAAAACTTTGGTTAAACTCATCCAGACTAAATGCTTTCAAGAAAAATTTCATATTCTTTAGGTTCTTCTCCTTTAATAATTTGATAAGGAGAGTTAAATTACTCTTAAAAAGGTTCCTCTAATAATAAAGTTGCATTATGTATCAGGGCCTGAAGAACTTCTAGAAATACTTCTTAAATTTAGAGAATTTTATTACTGTATCACTCAGACATTATCCAATAATTTCATATTTAAAGTTAAATTAAATGATGGCTAGGTCATTAAAACTAAACTAAAATAATACTATTCCTATTTTCTTCTTTTTGTGTTTGCTTTTTGACTTTTAGTTAGAGCCATGATTTATAAAATAATCATTAATTAGATTAATCTTATTTGCAAATAAAATTGCTCTTCATAAAAACATGATATAGTTGAAATAATCAAAAATGACTAAAATGACTTTCATTTTAAAAAAACCCTTAATTAAAAACTATTGATCTAAAAGGTATAATTAATTTATGATTAATGTTATTACTCTTGCAATTCATACCTTTAATATATTTACATTAGTTTTATTAAGTATAAATAGCAAAAATCCCAAGTTCTGTCAATTTTTATCAAAAAATCTTCCAATATTCTTGATATAATTTGATCTTGCTCTAGTTTAAATAATTATAGATTTTTTCCAATTACTCTAGAAAATTCTTGTTGTTAAATTTAAATTATTATGGTTTTCTAAAATATCTGTGAAACTTTTAAATTAAATTAATAATATCATCAGCGTTATAAAGTAACTCTTATTTTTTTAGCTAATAAAATAATTTCATTCTGGTTCATTTATCAAAGGTAAGATGATTATAAAAATAAATTTATATATCTTTACAATTTTATGATTATATTATATTTAAATACTCACAAATTATTTTAATTATTGTTTTTAAACTTGAGTTTAAGTTATTATAAGCTATTGTAAAATTATTTTTAATTTAATTATCAATATAAGAATCTTTTATTCATTAATACACTATATTACCTAAGGAAAAAACAGAAAAAATAATTAGAATTTGAAATAGAATAATGAATTCTAATACTTATAATGAATCATTTATTTCATTTCTCCTAAAATTCATATATCTCATATTTCGTCTTTTTATAATTCCAACATATGAAATATTATCCATTGTTTGTTAATGTTCCATAAAAGCTCAAACATTGGCAATCTAATACCTAAACAATTTATAATTATCCATCATTTTGCTCTTTGAGTAATATAACATGTTCTTGATGTCTTAAGCATATTAATTTTTTATCCGTTATGTATATGATTGGGAAGAACGGTAAATTTAGAAATATTTAATTATTATTTTATAATTTAACTTCCTTCTCTACTATTTCTTGAAATTTACCATTTTTTTGTTAAAATACTAATAAAATATTCGATTTATATATGAATTAATCTTCGTTTAAAAATTTAACATGAGTCCCAATACCTTTTATTGATTATTTAACAACTTACTAAAAAGCCCATTCATTATATGAATCTTTTTACCAAATTATAATTTATTTATCAGATCCACATGAAACTAATAATCTTTCTGATAAATTTAAACTTAATGAATTGACATAACTAGTATGTTTTGATAATGAATAGAGAAATGTTAATTGATTATTAATAAAATCTATACTCCATACATATATCATGCAATCTTTACTACCTGAAATTATTTAATCTTCATTTTATGTTAAGATTAAACATAAGATCCCTTCCTTATGTTTACATTATGGTTTGGAACTTTACCATTGATTGTTATTCTATTATCTCCATAATATAATTGATCCATCTTCTGATCCAGAAATAAAAAAATTTATAATTTAACTATATATTAGGCAATTAACAAACTTTTCATGTTCTGAAAGTGATTGAACTTTTTAAATTTTTCCATTATTGAAATTCCAAATTATAATTTAGCTTCCACAAGTTGAAACCATAATCTTTCCTGTTGAATCAAATACAATTGCATAACAAGTTTCTTCTTATTCAATTGTATCATCAATAAATACTAGTTGATTTGGACTTAATTGTTATTGTTATTTAATTATATACGTATTTGATGTTTATTAATTTAGTTCGTTCAATATATTCTTTAATTATTGATATTCTTGAAATGATTTGAATTGTTCTAATTTAGAATTAATCTTTGTAATTTAACTTTGATTAAGTATTTCAATTTGATTCTAACAAGTAATTTAGTCATCTTTATTATTTTATTAATTCATTATTATTAAATCTAATTCATTGAAGAAACTATACTCTGAGTATTTAGATCCTGTTTATTTTAAATTTAATATCCAATCTTTAGTGTTATTAATTAATTGATCTAATTACTAAAGAACCATAGATTTTAAATTATTGATTTGAATTTAGAATGATTCAACTTATTTGATATTAGTTATAATTAGATTTTCTATAATATTTAACTATTACTATTTATTATCTTCAATCTTCTAAATAATTTTTTTAAATCCAATTGTCTTAAATTTTTACTCTGATTCGAAATTATCAATGCATTCCTGACACAATAGTCTTTAATTTTATTCTAGTTTAGAATCTAGAATAACCATTGAGAGAGGTAATTCATGTTTCATTATACAATGAAGATTTTTTTCATTTTCTATCATTTTTAGTTTATACATTTTTAATTTAATTATTTATATTAATAATTTACAATCCTGCTTTATAAAATCATTTTATATAATATTAACATATTTATTCTTATATTCACATGCCTCACTATATTGTCTCACACACAGATACAGCAGCCATTTCAAAACAATGTTTATTAAAAATATTGTTTTATTTGTAGATTTAAATAAATTGCATATTTGATTTTATAATCTATTTTTCTTTCATTTATAGAGCAGCACTTTGTGAATTTGAGGGAAATTTATTCTTATTGGTTAATCGAAAATCCATAAATTTTATATACTATATTTTTCACTTCAAAATGAAAACTAAAAAAATGATAAATATAGATTATTTAGGTAATATGTAGGAATCATCCTCCAAATAATCTATGTGCCCTAGAGATTGATATCTTATCTGATAGTGCATTCTCAATAAATAACCAATCTAATTACAAGCAAAATTACCATGAGAATTATTTGAAAGAAATTAATTGAAATCTTAGTTGAAAAGACTTTTAGTCTAAACTAAATTAAATAAAAAGTGATCCAAAATTTATCAAATTTAAGTAAATAAAGATGAATTCTCTAATAATTAGCTAATATATCAATTAATTTAATTTATATTTTTAATGATCTTAAATTTAATATTCTTATTATGTAAAATTTTTAGAATGATCAAAGGTGGATATGAGTAATTGTATTGATTAAGATTATTGAAATAGCTTAGATATGCAAGCAATATTATTTGATATTTAAAAATGTAAATTTTTTACCACTTCCATTAATTGAATAAAATATATCAATTTTTATAGGCATATATATCTTTTAAATAGTATTTTAAGAGATTGATTTCATTTATATAGTTTTGAAATCTTATCAGATTTTCAGATAATTATAATTACTATCCTTGTAAATAATGTCCAAGTCATCATTTAAATAAATAAAAGCTATTAAAAAAAGTTATGATTCAATAGAAATTACATTACTCATCAATTTTTCTCTATAATTTAATTTTTTATTTTTATGAAAAACATCGAAAATAAAATGAGTATCTTTGAAAAATCTACTATTTAAATCTAATCTTTTTATATAAATTTGATAATTAATCGTAGCTTACCAAAAATTGTAATAGTTTAATAGCTCTTAAATTAGTATTTAATATTTTTTTATAGTTAACTATAATTATATTAAAATAATTACCTGTTTAAATGTTTAATGAGAACTTAATAAATTTCCGTTATTAACTAAAATTATTTATATTAAATTAAAAATCACTCTGATTATTGGAGGTATTTATAAAATATAATTTACTCAAGGTTTTGAAATTGAATTATTAAATGAAGATATAATCAGAATAACGAAAGATAGAAGGAAGATGGAGGTATTTTACACCAAAAATGAACAATTTATTATAAGAAACGAGCAATTCTGCTTTTGTATATCAAGATTGAGTTCAAGAATATTACAATTTCAAAATTGGTTCAGTATAGCATTTTTAAAATATGGAAGGGCAATCATAGATGAATTAAAGTCTCCACAAATAATTACTTGTTGAGATGGTTTTATTATTGATTATAAATTATTAAAACATATATCAATTCCTGTATCGATTATTTGAAAATAGCTTTAGATTTGAAATAAAAATTGCAGACGAAAACATCAACTAATTCTGATTTACAATGGATTGTTAAAAATCATATTTTTGTATTCAAAGGTTTAAATGTTTAGCTTCATACTCAAATTTATTGAATACACCTTTGATGATTACTAACACCAAATTTTTGAATGAAGTTGTAACCTGGATAATTCTAAAGTTTTTTCCCTCTAGTTTCTTGTAGACAGATTATGGGAAGTTAATTAATTTTGGCTATTAGAATGATATCCATTTTAATTGAGCCTACATTTAATTTATTAATTCTCAATTCATCACGTCTGGTTGTGTTTTGGTAATTTATATTTTTAATACCTGAAGAATGAATTACCAAACCATTCTTCGTTTTTTTTTCTTATTCAAAGGAATTCCTGACTTATTAGTTTTAAATTAAATTTTCTTAATTTTAATGAGTATAGATTCTGGTAAAGTGGCATTTCAAACAAATTTCGTTTTTGAAGTCTTTTTTACAAATTTTATAACTTTATTGGTATTTACAGTCTAAGATTCTTTCATTTCAGTTTAGCTATTCTTGTTATTTTTTCCGATGTTTGGATAAATTATTTGCCATTGAAGTTTGGGCAAAATTTTTTTTCTTATGTTAATCTCAATTAATCAATTTGATTGTTTAATTTTTGATTTTTAAGGTATTATTTGCATATATAATACCAATACTAATCCTATTCTTATCTCTTATGTTACTATTCTTGTTAAATATTGATATTTTCTTACATTCTATCCTTTATTTGATAAGGATATTATTTTTTATATTGTGATTTGATTATTTGAGATGGAATCTATTTTTATATTAGCTACCAAGAATTATCGATTTTCCAAGTTTTACATTGTGTACTTTGAGTTAGGTTTTAGTTATTTGAAAGATATATCGCAGGTATTTGTAATTTCTGATCGGTACTTGGATTTGTTGCCTAGGTTAAGTGAGTTTAACCAACAATCAACTTGTTTTTTTTATTTTTATGATTATTAATTTTTTTAATAATCTTGGTCTTTCTCACTTTTTAATTATCATCTCTTATTATCTCATGGTATATTTAATTTCAACACAAGTTAATTAAATATGATTCTTATTAATATATATATCAACTATTTTTGCATTCTTTTTCTTTTGATCCAATCTTGGTTTTGAATTTAATAGCTTTTGTTTGATTTGATTTGATTTGATTTTCTTTATTTATTTATTTGTGACAAAGTTAGTTTTAATAATCCTAATAGCCATAAACAAATAATGATTATTTTTAGGTATCATAAATAAAAATGGTTTCTTCAAAATTTACTTTATAAAAAATATTAATTTGATGAATTCTATTCCTACAAAAAACATTTCATTTAGGAAATAAACTTTATTTGAAATAAGCAATTTTTTCAATTATTGTATTTGCAAATTGATTTTTTTTATTTCATATCTATCATAATAATTATTATTTTTTTTATAAAAAGTATTTTGTATTTTTTTTTACTATAGACCACAAAATTTAATGATATATTAAATTGATATTTTAAAAAATACATAAAACATATTGCAAAAATATTTTCTAGCTTCATTTTTAAAAGGTTTTAAAATTAATCTTCATAATTAAAAGATTAATTAATAATAAGAGTTCTTTATTTTTTATTTAAAATTTTATATGTAATATGACATCATCTTTTGAAATTTAAATTCAAAAAAATCAAATTATTTTTATGAATAATTTAATTTTTATAAATTATTGAATAGAAGACATTAAATAAGATAATAATTATTTATTCTTAATTTTGAATAATATTAATATTAAAAAATGAATATACATTGTGTCATTTTCCAAAGTTGATATTGAAACTCTCATTAATAAAAATATCATTAAAAAATAATTGTAAGTAAATTTGGAATTTAGTTAATAAATTAAAATATAAAATGTATTTAAAAGATAATCCAACAAGAAAGGATTTTAAAAAGAATAAAAATTTGAAAAAGAAAATTCGAAACAAAACAAAAGTAGAATCAGTAATTTTGATTCTTTCCTGTAATTTATCTTTTTCTAAAAAGTGAATGATTTTAAAATATATGCTTTATAGTTTTTTTTGGCATCTGTTAAACTAAATTATTTCCATATTATTGTATTTTCTTATGTATTTAAAAAGGTTTTGATTTGCATTTTCATATTAAAATAAAAAATGATAAAGTCTAGCTTTGGAATAACTCTATATTTGAGTCGTATAATCGAAGTTTCCTTTAGTTCTCCATCTAAACAAAACCAGATAAAATAAACCTCTTTACTGCTCATTTATAGACTCTCATCATTTCAGTGATGATTCTATTAGAATGTTTGGAATGTCATTTAACTTGAGAAACTTGTAATAGCATTTATAATCATATAAAGGATAAAAATTTTCATTTATCCAAATAGACATTATGATGTTAGTTAATTAAACTGTTCAGGTATTTATTTTGATTATTTAAAGCTTAATATTATTCTTGCATAATCTGGTTTAGTCCAGAAGAGGATAATTGATAATATGAGCTATTAGTCAAGTAGAATATTTTGATTATAATTTTGAAAATTATTACAACACGAAAATTAAGTCTAATAAGTGTATATGCTTAGATATTAGTGAACATGATTTAAATCATTAATTCTATGTGTATATTTTTATCAAATGATAATACTTATATTAAAAATTAGTAGGAGACCCCTTGTGTTACAGTAAATAATTAGAAAAGCATTAGAATGTTCATATAGATGTGTAATTAGACTAATGTAAATCGTTAATCCATAAATTATGAGGAAATTGAATGATTTAGGGTCCTTTTTATGCCTGAGTAAATATTACGATTCTCCATAGTCTGAATGTTTAAGCATATATCATAATAATTTTTGGCTAGCAGCTCTTATTTCTTAAATTGTGTAAAATCTGCTGAAGCATTTCTTATAAACAGGATCGAAAGGTTTTCAGTTTCAAAAAAAATTCATGTGGAGCTGAAATCATTAGTTATTAAGTTTAAGGGAAAATTGAATGTCAAAGTATTAATAAATAAATTTCATATATATTGCTATTATTCATGTTTAAATTGTTATGGATCTAGTTTCAATAAATGTACATCTCGTTTCGATAATAAAAGGAGAACATTGTAAAATATATATGTATTTTAAACTTCATTTTTTTATGCAGTAGTAAGATAATTTAAATATATTCAAATATCAAATCTAATTATTTCTTAAACACTACTGTATTGGAATTCCAAAATTTCAATGTTATATTGTAATTATAAATTATTAGAAAGTAAAGTATTCTCTTTCAATTTTTATCCTATTGAAAAGTTACATAAAATAAGTATAAAATTTATTATAACTTTTTATGATTGTTTTAAAAAAGAAATTCAGAAAAAATAAAGAATAAAATTTCAAAAATTCTAGTAGAAAGCATAATGAATACGATTAAATCAATTCCTTTTTCAAATAATTCAATTTGAAAAGCTTAAGTGTTTATATTTATCAATGTGTATTCGTTTTAGGTCGCCAAAATAAAGAGGAAAATATGATTATTCTTCTCAAAAAGCAAAGTTTCTTTCCTAAATAAATAAAATCACTTTTGTTTTTTCAAAATAATACATAAATTGATCTCTTAAATCTATAATTGTTATAAAGTTATTATTAAAGGCTTTTCAGATCTGGAGTTATAATATTCCATTAAAATATAGTTGATATCAAGTGCCATAATAATTTTTTTCTATCATGAAAATTTTTTCTTTTCTATAAATCAAATCTTAAACACCTCTAAAAATTAAATACAGGAGTAATCGAAATGGGAAGACTTAAAAAAACAAAATTAAATTAAAAATAAGTAAAAGAATAAAAATAAGTTTAATTAAGTCGTTTTGAATTAAATCTTTAACTCATTTTAAAAAGAAACCTTTGGAAATACATTTATTTTCTGATTTTCGAAAATTATATCAAATGACAAAGATAAAATAAGGATTAATTGTAGTTTTGGATATAGAGGAAAAAGATAGAATAGTTAATGCTAATGAATATAAATATCTATATAACTCATTGACTCTAATATAATAATTTCAATGAAAGAATTAGAATTTTTTCTTAACAATAGTAGGAGCTTCTAATTTAAAAAATTGAATCGATACTATTTTGATGAAAATAATGAACGTTTTTTTTAAATGCATACATAATCATTATTATCTTTTTGAATGTACTTTTTCGCCTGAATGTATAACAGAGAACTGAAATTCCAATAACTAATCCATAAAAAATACTGAATAATCCAACTGTTAGTCCATAAAAAATCCCAAAGATCCTTTAGTTTAATCATTTGACTAATTCATGAGAGTTCTATTTCCACAGCAAAGATAAAAAGTTAGACAAAGACCTGAAATTTCCCAAAAATTCTTTATATATATATTTGTTTCTAAACTTCTCACATCTAAACTTTCTTATAATTTAGAGCCATGAACATTAGAAAAGCAATAATTGTAAGTGTTCCAAAAATAAAACCATAATACATTTATAGAAACCCATTTGTTTTTTTGTAATTTGTTGTATGAGATTTTTTAAACCATAAAAGGTGAATAAGTTCAAATACAAGATTAATTGAAAAATAAACTAAAGTTAATATTTCTATAATAGACTCAAAAGAATAAGCAAGGAATGTTGTTACTACTATTAATTAACATGTATCCATAAGTTTTTAATATTTTTCTCTGAATACCATATTTGATTCACCAAGCCTAAAATATCGATATTCAAAACAGATAATATAAACATGAAAAATAAACCGTACAATTAGTTATGCTATAAGCTCGGTAAGAAAGTAGTAGTTGAGATCACGCAACATAATAACGATTATAAAAAAAATATCTTCCCTATTGATATATTGACGTCAAGTTTCTATATATCAATAATATCCAAATAACTCAAAAATTACATTAGAAAAATATAATACTTGTATTAAATAATCAAATTCCAACAAAACAATATGATTATGAAAATTAGATTTTTTTCAGTATTTTTTATTTAGGATATTTATTACATAAATAGTTTTTATTTTGTTTTTTGCATATTTTCTATTAGCTGTTACTTTAGAGAATTAAATAACATTTTTTTGCTGAAAGAAACTTACTCAGATTAAGAAAGGAATTGGAATCTTATACTAGTTCAAGATTAGACTCTTTGATCTGTAAATGGGGCTCTTAACTATGATCAGTAAAATGACTTTTATCATCGTAATTTTTTTAGAAAGCCTAGTTAATTAAATAAGATGATAACAATTAATTTAAATAACTTTAATGTTAAAATATCCTATCAAGGTTTAGTAACTAAAAAACTATTACTACTAATAGCCCCTACTACAATGATTTTTGTGTTTTTTTCTCCTAAACACAACTAGTTTAATACTGTTAAAATTTGCCAGCATTTAGATAAACTTGTAGTCTAAATAAACAAAATTAATTTTAGGAGGAATAGCTCTAATACTTGATTGCATAATTAGATAGAATTTAAATCATATCAAATTTAAACAGTGTTTATCTTTTTTATTTAGAAATCTGTAGAAAAGCTGTAATATTTCTTTAGAATTTAGATAAAAATTCTTGATAACTACTACTTCATTTAATTAAGACTTTTCTCTGAATTCTATAAATATTTGATGATTTTTCTATTTTTATCCATTACACATGATTTTTTTTCAGATTAACATAACATTTTAGATTGTTCAGAAATTCGTATTTAATATTAATTATTAAACTTATGTTATTGAAATGCCAGATCATCGTTCATTTCTTATAAAAAATTCTCTATTTCTTCTTTTTCTAATTTAGTATTTTCTTTTTGTTGAACAAGCAACTGAAAATTTTCCACCTTGCAGCTATCTTAGTTGAGCAATTCAAACGTTAACCTTGTCTTAGATTATTATTTGATTATTTAAGGTCACAATTTCTGAATTAGTAAGCAAGAGATTGAGCATTTTTAATTCCTTACTTAAATTGCTGATATAACAGGAGCCTACTTTTTTGTGTTCTAACATATTTTTTATTACTAAAATATAATAATGCTTTGAAATCTATTGAATTTTTATTATCATAATTACTTAAATACTTAATATGTGCATTCATTAGATTTATTCTTTATTTTTTGTGGAATTAAAGTATTCCTTTGAAATCAAGTTTTGGGAATATAGAAAAAGGAAATGTACATAAAAAAAAATTGAAAATACATTCTTATTGAAATGACAAGTTAGCATTTTTTGCAAGTAATTAAGTTAAACAATATCACTATATATAGGTGTTTGAAAACATTCAATTTCAGAAAATTAATAACTTCATAAAATGTATCTTATTCTTCACTAAGAGCAATTAAATCCAAAAATAATTTAAAGTAAATATTAGCTAAATAAAATTCTTCTGTAGCATAGACTATATTGACACTCTATTCTGTTATTGGATTTTCTCAATTATTTTATTCGATAAAATTGTTTATAATATAGAATTTATTTTTAATATTTTAGTATTAATCAATAAATATAATCATAACATAGCATATGCTATTGGAAGTGAATGTAGTTACATATATTTNACTCTGATTAATTATTATTTTTTTATATGTTTTATCTCTCTAAAAGAGTGAATAATAATTATAATATTTTATGAATTATAATTAGACGAGGAATATAAGCACAGAGAAATCATTTTTTAATCTATCTCTCAATTTGATCTTATGAATTATTAATTAATCTAATTATGAATTTATTATTAATAGTTAAATGTAATTTTGCAATCGCAATATATAGCCAACTCTCCCCTAAATTGATAAGAAGATCTCTTCAAATTAGTAATTTTTAATGGTAGATATTTTACTACCATTTTACATTTTGAAAAACCTAAAATAAGTCTTAATAGATACTGATGGAGCCTCTTCAAAAACAATTTGATTAACTAATATATTGGCTCAAAAAAATCAAGAGGTTGTAATTATAAAAAATTTTGTATAGAAATTCAATACATTAAAATAAAACTTAAATTATTTCGCTTTTCAAGAAATAATAATCTATAAATTTGAATTTTTAGTCTATATTCTTATAATTATATCTATTAATTTGTAAATATTTGAGGATTATAATTAGTGATATTTAAAATTTATAGTTAATGATTCTCATCTAAACTTCAAAAATATATCTATCAGAAAATAATAATAAACAAGATCACTATATATAGGTGTTTGAAAACATTCAATTTCAGAAAATTAATAACTTCATAAAATGTATCTTATTCTTCACTAAGAGCAATTAAATCCAAAAATAATTTAAAGTAAATATTAGCTAAATAAAATTCTTCTGTAGCATAGACTATATTGACACTCTATTCTGTTATTGGATTTTCTCAATTATTTTATTCGATAAAATTGTTTATAATATAGAATTTATTTTTAATATTTTAGTATTAATCAATAAATATAATCATAACATAGCATATGCTATTGGAAGTGAATGTAGTTACATATATTTACTTAATGATGATAATCGATTTGATAAAAGATAGTTTTGTCTATCTCTTGCAAGTGATAAATATGTGAAAAATATTAAGAAGGTTTTTGTATTTTAAATGATCTCTTACGATTATATCATTTTTGATTAATTTCATAAAAATCATATGATTGATTATGAATAAGAATCGAAAGATGATTATGATGTTCTATTATCGTTTTCTGATTATTTATTATATTAATTAATTTGATGTGATTTTAACTTTTTCAATAATTGTCAGTATCATTTTAAAATTATCTTTATATTACAAGGAGTTTTCTATAAGTGACATGACAATCAATATCTGATAATATAATATGATTAAAAAAATTGAGATAAAAATTTATCATTCATAAAGATTCTACTAAAACACTAAAAATTTAGTCCTTTTCTAGTGATTATTTAGGTTCAACAAAGTTACCAATATTCAAATTAAGTTTTTTTCTATAATATTAAGTTCCTACTTTTCTAAAAATAATATTGGCCCTTGTGGAAATGAATAAAAAAGAAAAAGGTCTATATCTTTAATGTTTTAGTATCATATAAAATTAGCATGATGCTCTATATAATTTTAATATTGTGCTATATTACTAATTATAGAATACTTGTGTAATTAATTTAAGAATTTTTCAAATTTTACACTTGAAGCTTTTAAACAATCTCCTCAAAAGATTTTATACAATCTCCTCTGAAGCTTTTATACAATCTCCTCTGAAGCTTTCTAAAAAAATTCATTTGTTATGAAATTCTTTCTAATGAATGCTTTATCATGCCCTTTTAAAGTTTGGCTTAGATTAATATTATATAATACTCTATTTTGATGACCAATTATAGATGTATTCAGCCTTTAAATAAAATATATTAAAATAATCAAATCTTCTTAACTTCATTTATATATAAATACATTATTAATTGTATATGTGATGATATATTAAAAAAAATATAACTATAACATTTATTCCCTATTTTATTCTTAATTTCGCTTGTTTTATAACAAAATATCAAACATTAATTTACCATTTTAATGTGCTATTTTAGCAAAAATATTTATGAATAATTTATATGAACATTTTTTATACAAAAATGTAACACTTAAAAAAACAGATTTAGAGTAGTTGAATTAACAATTAACAAATTACTTAAAATATAAAATAGCTGATTAACATTTACCTCAAATATTTTTGATATTAGAATTGATTGTATTCAGTTCATGAAGGAATATACTGCATTTTTATTCTGAACCCTAATTTAGTATATTCTTTGAAGCAAGAAGATTATGTATAATTAAATATTTGATTTTAATCAAGAAAAATTATTATATGAAAATAATTTTCAAATCATTCTAAACAATTATTGAAGTAAACATTGGATGAATTAACAATATTAGAAGTTATCTCATGTTAAAAATAAAAAACTAATCATTTTAAGATGTTATTTTCTTAGAAATTTAAAATGAAAGGAATTACGAATAGAAATTATCATCTTTTAATAGAGTTTATTTTACTCAATCAATTTCTTATTATGTATATATATATAAATAAGTTTTAGTATTTTAATTTTATTTAGTTTACGACTTCCTATTAGTATTATCATCACAATGGCAGGTTTAATAGAAGTAAAATGTAAATTTAGATTTTATAAGATATTTATTTTATTATTATTTAGGTACCAATATATCCTTTTATCAAACATCGAGGTCTAAATAACTTAATGATTGCTTTTAGATTAATTAGGTAAAGAGTTAGAATGATTAATTTTTACCCTGATTGTCTTTTAGAGACTATTGAAAATAAATTTAAGAATGGGAAAATTTGAAGAATGAACTGGTTTTGAGAAAGGATATATATTTCATATCGATAAAAGGATTTCAACGAAGTAATAATAACAAAATATAAAATTTGATTTAATAAATTTTAATCTAGTTGGATTAAACTAAATTGTTAATTATCATTAAATAATCATTATGCCATAACATAATATGATTAAAATAAAAGAGCCTTCAATTTATGGAGAATTAATACAGTAAATGAAAAAATTTTAAAACAAATATGCACAATTCAAATGCTTTCCATTTATTGTTTGATATTGTGTTGTATTTTTTATACTAATTCAATTTTTCATCAATAAATAAACCCTTCTATAAATGACCAAATAAAAATATTCAAAATTTAATTGAAATGTAAGTTATTCTCTCTTTTATAGCAAAACTATTGGAATGCAATTAATCAAACCTAATATCTTTTATATAATACTTTCCAAAAATTCAATAGAATACCTTATATCATTTTTAATTTTTCAATAAATTCAAAGTGAATTTAAGGCAATTATTATTATAAAAATAGATAAAAAATGAATAGATTTGAGATTAATTATCTTAATTAAAATTTAGGTCTATTTATCCAAGAATTGTCTTCATTGATCATAAATAATCTCCTGCAAGATTTAATGATTAAATATCATTATTAATCAAGAATCTAATTAAAAAAAAATAAATAGGTTCAGAATATTGAAGAAAATTGAATCCCTTCAAATTCTTATTGATATTCTTATAGATAAAATAAAAAAAATAATCTTAATAAAAAAGTAAGGAACTTAAGCTAGTCTAATCATTCGTTAGGTTTGTAGAAAAAATCTGATATTCGCTTGAGGATGAAAAAACTATCTCTAATTCTGTAGAGTTAGTTTGTTTCATTCACCAAAAAATGAAAACTAGGAATTTTTCAATGTTCTTAAGTAATGAAAATTATCTCTTTGTTTCTTATGCTTCTAAAATTTGATCCTCACTTTTCTAAAATAATTATAAATTTCATTATTCTATAAATGATTTCCTGCCTTATATTCCTTAGATAAAATTAAGATACTTTCAGAAATTGGAAAAACATTTTAGTTAAATGGAAGTACACTATTATAAAATTCTTAGTCTATGGTTAAATAGTAAACTATATATTTATAT